GTTACCAATGTTTCATGCTGTTTTAGGAACTTGGATGAAACTGCATAAATGAGCACACATGGCTGTCTATGGTCACGTATTAGCATCTGTGATCAGGACTGCGTGAGTTTGGGAACAGATGTGACTGGTGGCCACTTTACATTTCTAATTAGCATTCTGTCACTTGATAATAAAGGGCATAAAGAAAAAAAGCAGGTTGATTAATCAGTTATCGTCACCAGATGCTTCACTATAGGACAGCTGTACTTCACTACTAAAGACAAAAGTCTCAATTTATTTTCAGTTCTTTTTGAATTGGAAAAAAAAAGATTAACTCAAATTAAATACATTGAATTGAATTTACAATTACGACTGCCTCTGTAAAATCATTGCATAGCAAATGTTTAATGCATAAAGCAGTCTGCCACTATATTCTATTTACATGCACTGCTTAATGGATGCTCTGCAGTGAATGGGTGCCATCAAAATAAAAAAAAAAACATCACAATATATTTGCACAATACTCGAGTCACTCATTTAACGTCTTGTGAGGTGAAAAAGCCACGTGTTTGTAAGAAACAAATCCATCATTAAGGCATTTTAACTTTAAGGAATTGCTTCTGGCCAAAATATGAGTCCATAATACATAATAACACCTCCTCGAGTGAAAAAATCCATCTCCCGTTGTCTCTCACATCACTTGAAAATGGTGCTTGATCTGTGCATATTTCTCTCCAGATTCAGACCAGACAAATTTTTGTCACTGGAAAAAGCAATATCCTGAACAGAGGACTAGTATTTTACACGGAATCAAAGTAAATAATGCTGGATTTGTTTCAGCTTTTGTCTTCTCCAGATGTGAACTGATGGACTGGAGTGCTGTGGATCACTTGTGGATTATTGTGATGTGTTTATCAGCTGTTTAGACTCTCATTCTGACGGCACCCATTCACTGCAGAGCATCCATTTGTAGTGATGGAATGCTACATTTCTCCAAATCAGTTCAGATTATTATTTTTTTTTTTACATGATTATTAAATGTTTTTAAATCTACCATGTGCTATTACACAAAGTTTGGAAGTATTTATTTGCTGAACATGTTTCAGAGATAACATAAAAACGCCTTGTAAATTTCACTTAGAATATTGTGTTAAGTGTTGTTAAAACAGTCTACTCGAACATCAGCTAGAAGTAGTTACACACTGCACTGAAAAACACATTATAACCAAGTCCAGCATTGTTGCAATACACTATTCTATGGTAGTCTTTGAGTCCACAAACTAGCCTCAATTATAAGTATTAAAACATGATTTAATGATAAAAATGTCGCAGTACTGTAAGTCCTACCTGCGCTGCCATCAGTGATAGCTCCATGCTCGTCTGCTCCTGCCCGCTGATGTTGAGATTAACTCACGTCTCTCTGTCTCTCTCCCCCCTTCTCTCTCTCTCTCTCTCTGTTGTATGCTGCTGAAATCAGCTGCAGGCGTGCACGCCATCCTCACAGAATTATGCTTTTTTTTTGACGGTCAAACACACTGACACTTAAACTGCCTGCTACCACTTCACAACTTTTGGCCTGTAGACAGAGCTTTTATCATGCAAATGAATGGATTAATATTGGAGCTACTTTCATCAACATATCTAAATCAACAGCCAATTTATGAAACCAAATGACATTTACATTTGCTTTAATTACGCAGATGTACATAAATGATAACCTCTTGATACCTTGAAATACAAGTTTTGATAATTAATGAGACAATTATAATCTGATTACCAACACAACACCCGCCAGTTCGGTAGCAATATTATCATATGACCAAATAAAACATTACAAAAACTCCCATTCAAACGTAATGGAGCTCTATCATATTATATATGGCCTTTTAGTCTTGTTTTGAGGTCTTTTATTAATTTCACCGATATTTTGAAAATATGCTTCTTCACATGTTCCCTTAACCTCAAGCAGGTTTGATGACTCACTTTTTGGCTTGCTTAAATTACATCTAATTGTGATTGTTTATAAGGATTTTGTAGGAGGCATTTTGGATGTAAATTACGTTAATTTTGCATTATTGTGAAGCTGTCGCACATGACAGAAAAATACAAATATAGCCCCTTATTTTAACATTATGTGCTTCTGAGTCATGAATAGGTAAACTGATGTAAACATATTATAGGTGTTTATATTATGTAGTATACATATTATGTATGTATTATATTATGTATTATAGGTATTTTGTGTCACAATCATTTACCAGATTTTGTCTTACCTGAAACCCCTGAACAATTTGAATAACAAAAGTGACCATTCTTAAAATGATAAATATGTATAAACTATAATAACTGAAAATAGTTTAGCAATGTTTAAAAACAATTATTAAAAATATCCCTTTTTAATCGCATCATGATGTATCATCCAAGTTGACATTTCTATTGATGCAGAACATCACATTACGAAATCTTGAATGCATACCATATTACAAATTATTGAATACATTTCCAAATCTTTTAAACAGTCTTCACTAAATAGATATTCAAACTCACTGTTAGAAGTCCTGCATGTCATGCTGTTATAAAACATTTACTGGTACGGCGAGGAATAGAAATACTTCAATATGGGACATAATACTGTTATGAAAAATTATGTAAGATGTGCAGTGATGCTTTTATTGTATGAAATAAAGCGTCTTCTGGGCTAGAAGGGACTATTAGTAATTTTGAGGCAATCTGTCATTCATAGACATCTTATTGCTCCAGGCCTGAAATCACTTCAAACTGTTAAATATTATTAACCTTCTGGCTGAAGCTATTTTTACACATTCGCTTTATTAAGTGATAACAAAGGCTGAGGAGCTGCTTGTGGCTGATGGGAGCAGATGCCTCATGCGGACACACAATGAGTGTCGAATCGCTGCGAAGAGAGAAAACTCACATCTCTCACCCCAAAGCAATGTAAAAAAGCAGAGTATCATTTGAACAGAAGCTTCAGACTTTTGTTATACTTTATTGGTTAACTTAATGGCTTAAGCACTAGAGGGCTGTAACTCGATACAGTGTCTCTGAACTAATGTATGCTGGATAAATGATAGGCAAGCAATGGAGGGTTAAAAATCCCAGTCCTAAATCACGTTAAACTTCAAAATCTGACAATACAACACATTCTGCATTATATAACATAATAGTGCAAGCTCAGTTTTGCAGAATTAAGCCAAAGTGTTTGTTTTCTCTGGTGTGCCCATACACGCTCACTGTCTCCTGTGCTGTGTTTCACTTTAGTGTTCATTCAGACGTCGTGTCATGTCACACAGTTTTAATCTCGCGCTCGGCGGCTCTGGTTTAGAGTGGACAGTACAGTGGTCGCTTCAGGCGCTGGTGTGTGTTCTGATCACGCATGAGGAGACCCGATGTGGTCTGTGCATGTGTGTGTGACAGAGATAATGAGAGAGAAAGACTGTTTTTATGGATGTTTCTATATGTGTGTGTGTGTGTGTAGCTACTTAAATCCTCACTGGTTCAAGTTTCTGCCAATCCTCCAAGACTCTACTGTCAACATCTTACTTGCCTGACATCTTCATCAATATTTCTGACACACACACACACACACACACACACACACACACACACACACACACACACACACACACACACACACA